ATAGCTCCATTCAGTTGTGAACAGATGCAAACAGCTCTTACGCAAACGATTAACGTAGGTTTTGGAAAATTGCCAAGTGTTGGGTGTGACCTTTTACTTTACGACGTTTGTGTAGGAGCTGCTTGTGCATTTTCACAATCGAATAGAACAATTTCGTCAGTTTCGGCCCTGATAGTCGAGTTTGTTCAAGCCCCTTTTCTGTCGTTCTCTTTCCAAATATAAGCCGCTGCTGATCGGATCACAATAGCGGAGGCGCAGGCTATTGCCCTTCCCTCCGACCGCCGCTGCGGTGACATTAAAACCGCGCCGCATACGAGCCCGGGTGAGTTTTTCCCTCCTCCGGCTCTCTTGCGCTACTTTCCAATGTGTTTGATAATAAGTGGTACCTGGGATATGTTTGATATATAGTATAGTTCGCTGTAAGGCGAGATGAATTCGGCACGGTGCCAAACCGTTCTCCATCAGTCGTTGAAACGCGCGAGCGGACAAGACTGTATCATATATTTAATTCGTAACACTCGTTTTCTACCAATTGTTGTCGCACACCCGCTTCAACAACTGGCAGAGAACGGGTTTGGCGCCGTGGCACAATCATACTGCCTAAAACGCCCTTTTCCGCAGGAAACTAAAATATGAAACACAGTTGAGGGGGTCATAAAACGAGACCACGGATCTTTCGTCGTATTGGTCGGACATGAAAGCAATTGTATGCCGATTACTGCAGAGAAATCTGGACGGAATATGAGAACTTTTTTCACAGCAACGGGAGCAACATATAAAAGTGATTCTGACATGTTGTGAAATGTTTACATTGCGAGTTGTTTCAATTACCAAACAGCACAGCGTCTTGTAGGATTCATCGGAGTGCCAACGGCACATTTGAAGGCTGCAGCAAACTCTGGCTGGTTGGCCAGCACCTGGTTCACCCTGGAAAATGATAATCGTGTGCAGGAAACAGAGTAGTAGGAAACGATCTAGTTTCTCCAGTCAGTACAGCTGATCGGATCTTTCAGGGCATTGGAGATTTGCGCATGTACCTTGCCGCAAAATACAAGTGCTGTCTTTATCAGCCTGCAGCGAGGGGCACCAAAAGTTGAGAACAACACTCTTTTCAAAGGTGACAACTGTCCCTCAATGATTCGCGATGCAGAAATTATCACGAGTGCTCCGTTATGGGCTGCAGACTTTGTTTCACAATTCATTATTTTATCTGGAAGAAATAATGGAAGCAAAAATCAGTAGATGCTATAAAATTTTTGCTCTGCTTGAAGAAAAAATGCGGAAATGTCGTGATCCTATGGTAATTTTCAAAGATTAGAAGTAGACGTTAGACTTTTACCTTGACAAACCTAAAAAGCGAAATATATTGTGTTTATTCTCACAGATGTATCCCGAACTCCAAACAAAAACAATGAAATTAGTCGCGTTTCATCTTCTACTACTAAAAAGTGTAGATGCCAGTTTTGTCGGTGTCAGCTGATTGAAATGCTGCAATTATTTGCGAACGATAATTTCTGTTGATTTCCAAGAACTTCTGGACCTGAGTTCACGAACGAATGGCAATCGGTTAACGCACCTCTGTACAAAGGAGTTTATGAAGGGGAGCACATAGACTACAACCAGATGGTCACTATAGTCTTACAGAAAGATGACCAAAAAAGTTCCAGAAATGAGACTTACAGCATGGTTTTTATCTACAGAATAGATCAAGCTCTTTGAGAGTGCGGGAGTTCATACTACTCTTGTGCGGCGAATACTGTGGAAATCAAATATTGAAGCCTCTATCAAGGGTAATGGACTCCCCTAAACTAAAAACTGTTGTAAGAAGTTTATGTGCAAGCCGAATATGCATTTAGATGCTCCTATTACTCTAAACAAGAATGGCCACATGGCGACTCCCAAGTAAATCAGTGACAACCGTCACCATAATTCATGTTTTACCATTGAAGAAGTCACTGGAGTGTGCGACAACGACTCATAGTTGGTCTCAACTGGTATCTTAACTTGATTTGTCTCTTATTTATGCGGGCTACCGTAACCACCTGGTGTTGAAACATTCAACGAGGTACGATCGTGTTATTTGTTTTGTAAAGATGAAAAAGGTGCTCACCGATACCGCCGTGGAGGGTGAGGATTGGTAAGAATGATATTTATGAGTTCGTCCTGCGTTTTATGGCCACACCAGATCTATAAAAAAACTAGCGCTATGGAATGAGCAACGCAAAGAATCTTCTATTAATAGAGTACTGTCGCGTATCCAATGAAGAACATCTGTTCGTTGTTGTAGGTATCCAGCCCTGCGATTCTCCTCTCTTCTCCGCATATCTCCAGATATCTCTCGTACGCCTGAAAGTTCGCATATCAGCGGCAAGAGAGAGGATCAGAATGGAACTGCTGAAAGGGATGAACTGAAGTCATGACAGCATTAAGTTGTTACAAACCGTTGGATAGCTGAGAACTTTCGCTGAGGCTCTCTACATCAATGCATTAGACTTTTCAGACAACGCGTTACGCTCCGATCCCTTTTATGATAGATACCTATTATCCTATAACGAAAGGGGGATTTACTTGAGGACGTGCCATCTTAATGCGCCAAGATTTTGCAGTTGCACTAGTCAGGTGGGCGCCCATGGTAACATAGCTATACGATCTTTGGTTTTTAAGGGAGAGTTCATTAAAGAAAATCATGCCTACTCAAAGCGATTCACTGCGAACCCTCAACGCTTGCTTCACTCCTCCATTGTCGGCAATATTCTCTCCTTGAGTGAGCTTACCATTCACTTTTCGACCTGTTCCTGGCACCTATAAAACCTGACCTGACCTAATTATATGCTCATGACCTTAGGTTTTAAACAGACCTCAATCCCAGCGTACTGGTCAATGATACACTGCACCCGTTGTTTATATTTTTTCTTAACATCTGCGTCCCACCAGTCGCCAATGTTACCAATCGCATCGAACTGCTGACCTGAAATCAAATATGGCTATGAAAGAGGTAAGTTGAAAAGACAAATGCACTTCCATTATTCGCAGAACCAGTCGGATCACCCGGCTGTCGCCGGGTGCTCCTCCTTCTTTATCACGGCCCGGCTTCGCCGGGCCGGCCTGGCTTCGCCAGGCACTCTTTCTTTAGGCGAGGTAGAGTGTGCAAAATACGCCAAACCGTCACAGTTCATTTTCCAGCAAAATGTAGAAAAATAGTTGAAAATAGCTCGAGCAATGGGTTAAAGTTGGATCAGCGAGTTGAAGTTGAACCGGCGCTATGATATTCGTGTCAAAGAGTTAGACGCACACGCACGGACATAGCCGATTATATATGGTAGGATTGTAACCGTTGTCCCAATGTAGCGCTGAAATCTATCCTTTGGTCCACTCTTTTCTCGGACTTACCAAAAAATCTCCCTAACCCTCACACGAAAATACAGCAAACCTGTTAGAGGACAGCCATTCGGCACCTACGCTATGCTGCTTGTCCACTACTGCAGGTTTCTTTTTCTGGAATGCACTCCCGCATTGCGGGCAGTTTAAGCTTCGAATGGTCCTCTCTCAGACTGTTGATGAAAGATAGTCATAGTGATAAAACCACTTGCTGCAGTTCATGCCAACTGAGTAAACAACCGCCATGCTTCTGATCTCCAGTTGCTTTAGCGGCCGTACATGATGTCATAACGATAAAGCCCAGGAGTGAGTTGTGTGCGAACTACTGGGAGCCCTGTATACTGGATCATATTCAATCGCGTAGTGGATGTATTGCGAGTGTTGCGTGATTTGTCGCATGATGAGGTTTTCATTTGTTTAAGTCACTATCGTCTCACCGTCAAGTGTGTCCGCCCTTCCCTTACGCAACTTTCTGGAGGCAAAGGTCCACAGACCCGCAACCTTGCCTAGAATTTAGTGGCCCTCCGGGCATCTAAGTCCCTTATGCAAATGCTATCATATGTGTGTTAAGATTTGTCATCACACCCTGTCCCTCGCTGTATACGCATCTTCGGAACCGACGAATCTCAAATTCAACTTGCAGCCGATGTGTGGGAATTGGGTGACCCTCCGCGTTCTAATGTCCCCATTATCAAATTTACAGGTGTTATCAGCTTCTGATCATGTCCACCCCTTTCTCCTACACCACTTCTCGAAATCAATGTCCCACGGTTGCTGCAACCTGCGCTAAGAATTTGGTGACACCCGCGTCTAGGGTCCCTTATCGGATCTTATCAGATGTTATCAGCTCCTGTCAGCCCCCCATCTACGGCATATCACTGCTTGAAACCAAGGTCCCCGGGGCTGCTGCAACTTGTCACGAATTTGGTCACCCTCCCCTTCTAAGGCCCCTTATTCGAATCTTGTAATACCAGTTATACCCGTCCTTCATCCACCTAAAAGTGTTCGCTGTCCACCCCTATATTTTATTTTGGAATTACCATTCGTAACTACACTGGATGGCGCTGTGAATTTTGTGAGCACACACACACACACCATACAACCACAAACACACACACACAAACACACACACACCACACATTTACGACTTATACAGGGGGGGCAAAAAAAGTCATTCCGGCCGAGTCACATATGAGCGAAGTTTTCGCAGCCCAGACAGAGGAAGTGGATATGAGTACCAGGGCGGAAGATACCCAAGATCTTCCTCTATAAGCAGGAGCCGGCTGCCGCCATTCACCTTCATGTACACCAAAATATGAAGTCATCTCCAGTCGCGGCCTGAGTGGAGAACGCCTTTGGAATTCACGTGGCCTCCAAACAGCTGCGGAACTTCTTGAATGGAATCACCCATGGATAGCTACCTGGAGACCAGTACTCTTGATCTGCAAGACCTTAAACATCGAGCAGCTCCGGCAACGTCGCTACGGTCCAGGACATCATCTTCACCCCATTCACCAAGGCGCGGGTTGATGGTGTGGACCGGCCGTACCTGGAATGGATGAACCGATATTTTCTTCGTGGGCCCCAGACTGAGGGTGTGCGCTGGTGGCTACATCGAGCAACTCGAGGAGAATATCCCATCTTCATGTCGTCGCCCGTACCTTCTTGGAAACTTTGTACTGCTACAGGATTGGGTGACAACACATTTAATCGAAGGGCGTTGGAAAAACTTTCGCCTACTTGGAATGGAAGAACGTTGAGTACCTGGAAAAGATGGAGTATTTAAGCGGGGGTCCTGAACTAAACCCCCTCAATTACTCGGTTCGGGCGGAGCTCAACAGGGTGGTCTACAGTGGCGGAGAAATCAACGATCTCGCTCAACTCCGGTACCCACTCACTTTCGCGCGGCCGAATCTCTCGATGGCGCTCCTCCAGAAGGCTGTGGCGGAGTATCATTATAGTATTTAATGTGCTCTTTAATATGGTAGTAAAAATGTCCGATAAAAATTTAATAAAGTGTAACTTATAGCGCCTTGAAAGTCATGGAGGCAAAAAATGACTTTTTTTGGCCCCCCCCCCCGTATGTGATATGATAGGATAATAGCTTCTAACCTTACGATGACGAGTAAGAGGATACAGGGGAGTGACCAACTGACTGGACCCATTCACTAATACGTTTTTTTCCAGTCAATTACTCAATGCAACTGTCTTTTGTACGTTCTCTTGGAAACAACAGCCCCCCCCCCCTGTAGCAAATAATGCCAACACCTGGAAATGCTTACCTTACACCTCAAGCTGATGGTAAGCGAGCGCTTCCACCGACGGCCACCATTGGTCAATAGACTACATTAATAGTGTACTGAATATTAATACTTGGGTTGGCCTAGGAAATGGCGTTTTTTCTCACTCCAAATATCACATTAAAGATGAAAAGTTAAAATGAAAAGTTTTGCTAAGTTTTATTCCAGAGAATTTCTAGCCCTATACGATGGTCTTGTTGGTTCATTGTTGGTGAACGATGGTATGAAATCACAATGGCTGACTGGTAAAAGGTTGCGTGGGAGGGCAGAGATACTCTGCGGCTGTACACACGTTGGCTTCAGCACGTCATAGAGGAAACAAGTAATTCGATTGATGATCCACATCTGAATGGAAAATGCAGGCTGAAAGCAAGAGTCCCTTTACTCAATTGGTCTTCAGATTCATCAAATGAACGTGACTCGATCATACAAACGACAACCAAAACATCGACAAAAAATCTGCACAACTTACGCCACCTAAGCAATGACTTTCTTTACAAATTGACACCCTTAGCACCCTTTCAGGAATAGCCAAGGGTACCGGTTGTGAGCAGTTTTTACGCTTCGCAAAGGCTACCTTCTTCAGTCAACGTGATACATTGGAACAAAAAGCGCAAACAGAAGAGCACCTTGGTCATCGAATGCATGAGTAATTTCGTGTCCAATCACAGCTCCGATTCCAGCATAATTGAGCGCTCTGCAACTTTCGAGATTCATGGTGTTACTTTAATCATACTAGCTGCTCCTAATTCCGAATTCCGCGATAACGCTCGAGTTTGAGGCATTTGCACCTTCTCAGAGCGAAGCGGCTCACCTTGGAAAAGTGTGATGAAAGAAAGGAGCTTGAAGAATAGCGGCTGGAAACTCTGCAATGCGGTAGCATCAAAAAGTGTATGGAACATTCTTCTTCGACAGAAGGAAGCCATTACTTATCGAATTGGAGAAGAAATCGTAGTGAGCGTTGACGACCGCAGCGTTAAAGTTGTACTCATTTCGATCGACAACTTCGGTTAGGCGTTTTAAGTCGCGTTCCGATGTTCCATCGTGACAGTTTCTCTATCATCTCGCTGTACGAGTCCGTTGCCTCCACGGAGAACTATCAGCAGAAAGTCAAAACATTAGCTGTCAGGCAGGATAATGTAAAAAAAGTGGGAAGAATAGCAAATCGTCTTAATATTCCAGCTTGTAGCCCCGTAAAAAATGAAACACCCGCTCGCCCGCCCCCAAAAACCAGCTCACGTTGTAATGTAAATCATGTCAAGCTCTTGCTGTCAAGTAGAAATCTGGATAGGCGGCGATTTCGGACTGAACTGAGCATTTTTCGTGCTTTGTCGAAAGCATTCTGAAAAACGCTGCCCCTTCGTAATCAATTCAGTATACTCGATCCTATCCATCTTCACTTTCTGACTATTGCATTTATGATATCTTTATTTGTTATTCGTTTTCCACCTGAAAGAGAAGAGAAGAAAGCCTTTCAACCTTAGCCAAAAAACTTTTTCAACGACTTTTTCTTAGGGACCGAGTCAACTCCTTCCCTCTAGCTCGAAAGATGATCATAACTTCGCTCCCTCGAAGTACTTTTACTGATACTAGAAGCGTCCAGAGAATTTCAGGGTGGCTGAAAAACGAGAGCCCCTTTTCTAGTACTTCTCTGCCTTCGACAAGTCTCGAACGTCATCCCTAGAATGGTAGCGCATTTCGACGTCTTCGTAGTGGTGAGGTTTCTTAGTCTCCTTGTTCGACGATGTTGTCCGCTGTGACAGGAGTCGACGGAAAGTTGTATGGCTGGAAGCTCTACCTCCTGTTTGTCACGTGAAAGAACTTCACTTTGAAGTGACTGGCTCAAAGATGAAATCACTAAGGTAGAAAAACTTGAAGGTCCCACCTCACTTAGCAAAAATGAGGTACCCTATAGTCGAGTCTGTAAGAGTCGATGACAAAAAGTAGAGAATCGTACGTGAGCGATCCAATATGTCGTGACTAGGTTCAAAAACTGTCTTGATAGGGCGTATAATCATCATAGTTATATGCACAGAACTACGTCTTGACCAAAACTGTCACCAAGAAAAAATTACGAGATGTAATAAACGGTTGGTGTGCGTGGAGTAATCGCTGTCGTCGAATAAAGAATAGTATACCATCAAATATAGCAACGGCGATAATTAAATGTAAGCTTGCATGGTTCGGCAGGAAAAAGTAAGAAAGGTCAGATTTACTTTTGAAGTGTGGCTGCTTTCAGTAGGTGTCATCTTTCGAACCTTCAGATAAGGACCTTCTCATCAATATTGACGCCAAACTATAAATCTAGGTTTGGGCCTATCAAGGAGAGGCTTTGAAGGCATTGCGGCTGCAAATAGAACATTTCCTAAATACCCGGACTACGTCATCAAGAGTTTGTCTGCAAGGGGGAAGATAACGCCCACCTTATTTTTTCGGGTGAAGGATACTATAAAAAGGAAGTGGAAGACTCACTATAGTTTGGACACTCACTTCGACATAACAAAATTGTTCGGACGATTGAGAATACGGGCTACGTCGCGGGTGTGCTCACGATTCAGTCCTCACATCTAAGCGTCTTGCGTCGAACGCCAAAGGCGACACTCGTTTTTCTTGTATCTAACGTAAACATACATACATACTGTAGCATATCCAATAGAAAATTCCTTAGCAAAAAAAATGCACATTCGTGAAAGCAGATGATATTTGTAAGCACCCATGCTTTTTCACCACACTATACACGCTCAGAGAAAAAAAAACATAGAACGGTTTCAAACCATGCTAAAATCTGATCTGAAATGCACCAACTAATGGAGGAATCAAGGGATCCATTTGAGAGCTCAAAGAAGTGAGATTTTAAACATTGTTGCCATCCACACAGGCGGAAAATAGGATTCTCGCTTAGTTTCGGAGAGAAGGTCATCATCCACTTGTGGGAACTGCACGCTTCACATACCAACAATGCTGAGCTATTAAGGAACGTCAGAGCCTAGACGGGACTCAAACTCGCATCTGTAAAGCTATGGCGAAAGAAGAGGCATCTAACTACGAGAGCGATCCCGGTGACGCAAGGACTGGCGCACTCGCCCTGTCAGCGGGAGGTGCGGGTTGGAGACTCGTCTGGAGTCTGGCTTTTGTCCATAACTTAGCGTTGTTGGGACAACTTTCGAGACGCGATCTGAGGTATTGACAGCAGTTATCATGCAGACAGTTTCAGCACAGTCGAACTCGTCACGTAGAGGCGAATCCACTAAACATGACTTCCATTACATCCCATTCGAAAAGAACTATGGCACTGCAACGTTTTCCGGGGAGTGATTCCGCCAATTTTACACAAACAGGAGCGGCGACAATGCTGATTGTTTTCGACTATGGTCGTGGATAGCAAGAATGCCCTCCGTTGCTAAATCGAGTAAGTAGGTAATTTAGTCATGGAAAAAGGTTTCCTTGTAGCCCAGAAATTGGATTTTCAGAGCCCTAAAGCTGCGGAAAACCAGGACGCTTCTAGAAGAAATGGTGGTCAGCCTTGCGTAGGAATCAATGGTTAAGCAGCTAGGAAAATAATTCCGTCCAGAAAACAGCATCGTAAGGAGCATTCAGATATGTCGCGCTTTAAGCGTGTTGACTGTCGCTCTCGAACGTGCGTTGATTGTCGCCATTGAACACGCGTTGATTATCGCGCTTGAACACGCTACAATTACAAGAGCGCTCCAATTGTACCAGACCCCAGCTTCCCTTTATGTTCTTTCTTCCGGTATTCAACCCCTTTTTCACTGTTTCTCATTTCTACCTGATTCTTAGCTCCTCTTTTTCACTTTGACATTGAATTTTGTAGTTTTTGACCTGTGATAATGATTTTGTATACCGTTTTCGACTTTAATTATTCAGTCTCAGGGTTGCTATTGATGTTGATGTCTTGCAGTGGTGCATCATGTTGATCCCGATTACGAAATTGTTTTCGTTCTATCCACGGACAGATCGCAAGCAAGCTACATTAAAATTCAATGTCAAAGTGAAAAAGAGGAGCTAAGAATCAGGTAGAAATGAGAAACAGTGAAAAAGGGATTGAATACCGGAAGAAAGAACATAAAGGGAAGCTGAGGTCTGGTACAATTGGAGCGCGCTTGTAAGCGCGAAAATCAACGCGCGTGCAAGCGCGATAAGGCTGAACGCTGCCTAATGTATAAAATGGCCGTGTACGACCATTCTCCCGAAAAAGGACCGTTGTACGACCTTCTCCCCCTGCCGACTCTAATTGTTTGCTGTGACGATAAGGATCAAACAGCAACAATTCGCAAGAGCTACGCTGAGATCAAAGCGCAAGTGGCGGTGGAGCATAGTATTGACGGGTGGAAATCGCGGGGTTCCTTCTGAGGGTGAAGCTTTCACAGGTGTGGGGCTTTTGAAAATGAAAAGTGACATGTCGAAGCAATCTCTCTACTGTTCCATTTCCTTACTACCCGTTACCTGAACATTTTGCTGTTTGAGAAATATTTAGATGGGTTTTCGATGACAAACCGTACGCGGGCTTTTATGCTTCGGACGACAATAACTTACTTCGTACGCAACTCTTTGCAAAACTGAAACACCATCACTAAGTTCATAGGTTCCTATTCCAAAATGTGCTGTACCGTTCGTGAAGAGCTCCTAGTCAGAAGAGATTCTAGACGGGTAATTGACCGGCAAAATTGTGATCACTCAAAGACTCAACCCCTTGTGTACCATTGTAAGAATGCTCATTCCTTTGATGCAATGAAAATTTGATGTCCCTTCAAAACACATATGCTCGTTGAAATGAGTATAATTAGAGCTTGGTTATCATCGATCGCTCTGGTCTGAGTGTGCAGTGCGCCGTGCATTACGCTTCTAAGCAGAGATGGTGAGGCTTTCGAAGTTGTAACTCCAGATTTCAGGTGATTTTTGTACATGCAAGCAGATGTTTGTTCAGGGTTTGGAAAGATCGATCTGTTTATGATGCATCATTCAGTCGTTTACGTACTTCGAGTTCATGCTAACTACTGATATTGCTAACTAATTATTTTATTATATTCTGTAGTCTTCCACACACTCGGGTCCTTTGCAGCGCGTCCACTCCGCCGAATTCGCGACGACACCTTTGTGCTGTTTGCTGCTCACTGACCCTGCGCTTACGACCCATCCCCCCCCCCCTCCCCAAGCAACTAAGTACAACCCCTCCTCCTCTCCTCGATGGGTTTTGCACAGCGATGCGTGCCCTTATTTTGTCCAAATTTTTAATGTTTCGGGAAAGTGGACGCAGACCACGTTTGCTCTCTGATGACTTGACTAGTGCATTAGATGCAGAATAGGAACCCTTGCAGAAATGAAACTCTCGGACCTTTTTTGTGGTCTCGTCCATCCAATCATTCGCGATAAGCATTTCCTCGAATGCTTCTCGCAAATCCTTCACCATGTCGAGAACTGAGTTCTTCGATGCCTGTAACAGTATCATCTCCAGTGAGTGTTTCAATTCATTAGGACATATCTCACAAACTAACCTGGTCAAACATTTTGCTTACGAATATGGCTCCAGCAGCGTACCGCATTTTGAGCATCGTTTGAAAAGCACACTCCTTATGTGTGGGAGGCTTTCGCTTTCTTCCATACATCGAGCAGTAAAACTCCTTGAATAGACGGAAATTCAGAGAAAACTCATTCCTTCCTTCATAATGGTATAAAGGAAATCAAGTAATCGGATTTCGGAGGCAACAATGAGGCATAGTATAGGTTGGAAGGAAAGTCTTGTCACTGTTGTGACTTTTTTTTTTATTTTCTAACTCAATATACAGTGGGAATTAGTCAACAATATACTCGTCATAGTTAGCCACTACAGTGCTCCACCCAATGGACAGGCAAGCATTCCCCTCCTCCCAGAAGTGAGAAGGCTGCGAGTAGAGTAGTCAGCGCCCCTCGACTGTTGTCATCAAAGTTGCTGAAAGTTTTCGTAGCTAAGAAAGCCTTAAGGAGGCGGAGCAGGTAGCAGTCGTAGGGGACTACGTCAGAAGAATATTATGAGCTTGGTCTTCCAGCCTTGCTCCTCAATTATTTGGTAGGTCTTCACAGCAGGTACGGGGTCTCGTGTACTACGAACGATGTGACCAGAAGCTAGTCTCGGTCATTTTTCTCCAACAATTTTCATTCGTTTCGGGCTGAGCGACGCAAATGGTGGCGGTGATCGTGTGTTCTTACAGGGCAGCTCATTGTGCAGCATTCCCCTCGCGTCCCAGGAGCAGCACAGGAGAACCTTCTCGGAATACATGCCCGGTTTGGACTGCTAGAATGGATCTTCTCTTTGAGAGGGACGCACGGTACTGTGTGGGTTGAAATCATAGAGGACCCATCTCTCATCCCCACTAAGCAGTCTCCCGGAAACTCCTTCTGACGAGGGCGGAGAAGGGGAGACTGACCAAGGGTACCCGGGTTAGGCACATTCGAGTCTTGTCGCAAGACTGCGGGTGGTAGCCTCTGGATCCCCCTTGTCTGCTTCGAGAATGGTGGAGTCTTATACTTCTTGGGGCCGTCCCAACCAAGGTTTGCCTTCGAGGATCGAGTCTCCTTTAGCGAAGAGAGCGTACCGGAAGTGAAGGAACCTG